TAGGGAAAGCATCTTGTTGTGAGCTCTTCCTTTGCCTTCTACTAGTAAATCTGTTTTGTCAGTGAACAAGTAGGGAAGCTTTATGTGGTCCCTGCTCCTGGACTCTAGCTATGCTGTCCTAATGGATTGATTTCTCTTGGTCTTAACTCCTGAATTGCAATTTCAGATAAAACACAGTCATTTGTTTCTGCAAACCCAGGTGCCTAATTTTGTTACTGAGCTGAGTGGGTGCAGAGCAGTGAGCTGCAAGCTACAAGGCTGCAAGCTGCAAAGTTGCTAAGTATATAATGGAGAGCCCCTGCCACAAAAGATAAGGGTAGTGGCTAGAGGGGGCAGAGCCAAAGGGGACTGTGAGCAGGGCTTTAGTACAGAGTAGGCAGTCTTGCCCAGGCAGGGGAACAGAGACAAGCTTCTTGTAAAAGAGGGAGACTGGCAAAACCTAGGCCAAGTGGCAGGGGGAAGAGAGAGGCAGAGAGACTGTGGCTTGAAGAGGAGAGACTCTGATGATAGGAAAGGAGGAAATACACCCAGAAGGCTGAGACCTGTTTATATTAACCTAGGGGGAGTCCAGAGGAGAGACTGCACCCAAAGCAGTGAGGACTGCTTATGTTAACCCGGGGGAGTCCTGAGGAGTGGATGTACCCATAGGATTGTGGGGATTGGGGAATGTTTAAGTTGGCCCAGGAGAGCAGGAGCCACCCAAGGGCTATTTATGTTGATACGAGAGGGGTTTGCTTTTTTTCCTTTTGTGCTCATTTGTTGGTAACACCTGGCAGACCAGAGTGGCTGTGAGGGGAGGTATGAAGGCTATGCAGCAGAGTGCCCAGCATCCTGTGATTATTTTTTTTTTCCTTCCCCCCTGTGTTTTTTTGTTTGTTTGTTTGTTTTGTTTGGGGGATTTTTGTTGGGTTTTTTGTTGTTGGGTTTTTTTGGTTTACCCATTCCTCTCCTTTTCTGTTGTGAGTCTTAGAGAGGAAGTTAGGGAGCTAGATGCTTTGTCTAGGTAGAGGCACAGATGGGGGATGAGGCCCTGACTTACGCTAGGTGGACTACAATGCAACAGAGTTGGAGCCACAGCTAAGGCTACAGAGGGAATGTGGGGGAGAAAAGGTCATCCTTGCACTACTCAGGTCGGTATCCAGAAGAAGTTGGGAGGCAAGGCACCCTCACCTAAACTCTGGTCACCTAGAGGCAGCCTCCTAAATATCGTTCTAACTATAACATCAAGGTGTGGTAGGCGAAAGAGAGAGGGGAGCCAGCTAAGGAGGCTGAGGCAGGTAGACAGGTGCTATACAGCCACCAGTGGGTGACACAACCACCCCTGGAGGTGCACCCTGCTACAGACAGATATAGGTAGCTCAATGATGAGCAGTGTGGGTAAAAGGCACTTAAGGTGTCACTTGAGTAAAATGAGGGCTTCCTCCCAATCCTATAATAAGTAAGATCAAAGGCATGGCAGGAGAGTATAGGGTAACGCCCTGGGAAAGTGGAGTGCCAAACAGGCCTGAGTCAACTGTCAGAGGGCCTTGGAAGTAGAGGCCTATTACAGTATATGATACGAATGTGTTTTATGACAGGAGGCTGTAAAATAAGGTCAAAATTCAGAGGCAGCAGTTCTACATATAGGTTATAGGGAACTTATTGGTTCAAGAACTGGACGATTGGATTTAGAGCTCATTAACTTTGGTAAGGTTAGTAACATACTGGCAAGCATGTGGGAATGAGAATAATTAGCATACCTAATGGAAGAATGGTAATTGTAGCAGGAAAAATAGCCAGAGGGAGTGAAATAAAACAGTTTTTTCCCATCTTTCTTGTACTTATGCTGTCCTGTTAATTGCTTTTCCTGTTACTCTCCTATTTAGCATCCCATGACACATGAAAGAGCTATTTTCTGATGGTGAGCTGCTATCTCTGACTTTGTGCCAGATACCAGCATCAATTAACATATCACTAAGCATGAATTCTTTGCAGTTCTCTATCACAGTGACTATTTGTCATTACCATTTTGAAAAATACCTTTAATTTTGTGTTCAAGCCCCCCTTTTTTTTTCCTTTAATAATCCTACTGCATTACCAAGAGCATATCATTTCAAACACAGAACAGGCTGTCAGTTTTTTGTTTCTGCAATGGATACTGAACTAAATCTCTTTCCCAAGGTGGCCTTAACCTGTACCCAGATCTGGTGGACCACAGAGGTTGGAATTGCCTTTGCCAGACTAGAAGAAGGTTATGAAAATGCAATGAAGGAGTACTACAAGAAGCAAGTGACCCAGTTGAATACTCTCATCACCATGCTCATTGGTCATCTCTCCAAGGGTGATAGACAGAAAATCATGACCATATGTACCATTGACGTCCATGCTCGGGATGTAGTATCTAAGATGATAGCTCAAAAGGTTTGGTTCCATCCCACATGGAATGACCCCTTTTAAATTGCTGTCCTAGCAATGTCTAGTGCTCCAATAACAAACAGCCTATTGAGTTAACAGAATATGGTCCAACACTGCCATCTTTAATCCTAATGGAAACGGGTATTGCACCCATACCCACTCATATCCCAATCCCGCTCTATATAACAGACATTCCAGTTACTACTTGTTTCTCTTGAAATGGCGTAAATGGCTTTTCCTTTGGGGGTAAAAATACATCATTTTTGCATGAGCTGCCGAAACCCTCACAATAAATCAGCAACTGTGCAGTGTGACGGACCTTAAAGCACCACAGGGCTTGTGTTCAGTCATCTGCTAATGCAAGTTAGAGGTTCAGTGAATGGTTTTGCCACTCCACCTCCCCAATGCTCAGCTCAGGCATGTGTTAATAGGCCAGTAAAATGCATTCCTAATGGATAATGGGTGCTATCACATTTACAGAGTAATGGAGTTTTTATGTTTGGAGGTTTCGTCCCACTGGAGAGGTACACAAGTAGATCATGAGAAGTACAGCCAAGCTAAGTCTTCTATATTGTTTTGGGCCTGATCCTAAATCCATTGAAATCAGTGTGAAGATCCCCATTGACTCCATTCGGTTTTGGATTGATCACCTTCCCT